AGCTGCAGGCACTCTACGCCCTCCAGGCCCTTGTAGTGACCTTAGAACAGCCTCCCAGTAAGAGCCAGGCCACGGGGACAGGGGTGGGGTGGAGGGACTGTCAGATAGCAGGGCATAGTCATGGACCCTTCATGGAAGGATCTCAACCCAAGAACGGTAGGAGTCATCGAGGAGTAAAGTACCCTCAGGGTTTCATTCCTTCCGCCTGCGTTCGTGGTGGTGTCTCCAAGAGGAAGGAGTTAGACACCGCCTTGAAGGGTCATCGACTGCCTGTTTTGTGCCTAGCCATGTGTTTGATGCCAGCAGTGGAGAGGTGATAAATGACAGCGTCCTCCCAGTACTGTGCCCCTCCTGCCTGGCACAGGGCTGAAATGCTTTGCTTCCCTTGCCTCATGTAGTCCTCACAGATGTTTAGGGTGGATGGATCCCTGTTTTCCACACTAGGAGGCCAAGGTCTAGGTGACCGTGACTCAGGCTGTGTGTCCAGCACATAGGTGTGCGTCAGGGTACTGGCATGCCCACAGAGGAAGCCGAGCAGCTTCCTGTGCCGGCATGGCGGTGGCACTGACGTGAGCACTGAGCCTGGAAGACGTGTGCTCTCAGAGGGTGGACACCTGGCCAGAGGGGTCATGAGTGGGAATTTGCTCCACGACAAATGGGAGGGGTGGGGGAGAATGCTTGAAACGAAGGCACTGTGTGTGTGCTTTCTACTTAAGGTAGGAAAAGAGCTGTTGAAGAGAGGCCAGGGTGGGAGAGCAGAGCCACCAGTCACGAGTGAGGCAAGGCGGGGCTGAAGAGAGGGATGCGGGCCTGACCATCCCGGGCCGGTATAAGCCTTGGCCTTGGCTTTAGCCTAAGGGCAAGAATTTTCTTTTTTCTTTTTCTTTCTTTTGTTGTTTTTTTTTTGAGATGGAGTCTTACTCTGTCACCCAGTCCGTAGTGCAGTGACGTAATCTTGGCTTACTGTAATCTCCACCTCCCAGGGAAAAGCAATTCTCCTGCCTTAGCCTCCCAAACAGCTGGGACTACAGGAGCCTGCCACCATGCCTGGCTAATTTTTATATTTTTAGTAGGGATGGCATTTCACCACGTTGGCCAGGCTGATCTCAAACTCCTGACCTCGTGATCCACACACCTTGGCCTCCCGAAGTGCTGGGACTACAGGCATGAGCCACCATGCCTGGCTGCCCTTGTGGGATTTTAAGCAAGGCATAAAGGAATTGGATTTTTTTTTTTTTTTTTTTTTTTTTTTTTTTTTTTTTTGAGACCGAGTTTCACTCTTGTTACCCAGGCTGGAGTGCAATGGCGCGATCTCGGCTCACCGCAACCTCCGCCTCCTGGGTTCAGGCAATTCTCCTGCCTCAGCCTCCTGAGTGGCTGGGATTACAGGCACATGCCACCATGCCCAGCTAATTTTTTGTATTTTTAGTAGAGACGGGGTTTCACCATGTTGACCAGGATGGTCTCGAACTCCTGACCTCAAGTGATCCACCCGCCTCAGCCTCCCAAAGTGCTGAGATTACAGGCTTGAGCCACCGCGCCCGGCCAGGAATTGGATTTTAGTTTTTAGATCATCCTGGCCATGGAGGGAAGATGGTTGGAATGGGGTAAGGGAGTGTGGCACTGTTAACACCGGAGGCTCAGCCTTGCTGGTGACAGTGGAGAAGAGAGGGCAGATCAGGAGACACTTAGGAAATGGAGTTGGCAGCTTTTAGTGCACTGGCCTGGGTAGGGGCCATGAGAGGTTAGAAGTCGTGGATGACTCCCAGGATGGTTTTAAGTCATGGTGGGTTTAAAGAACATAGTATGTCATTTGCTGGGTTAGGGAACGCTGGATCAAGTTGAGTTGTGGTCCCTGAGTAAGGGAATCAAGATGTCAGCTCGACAGCTGGAGTATCTGTCCTTTCGGAAAAGAAGAGATCAGGGCAGGAGGCAGCTTTGTGAGTTGCCGGCACAGGGTGACTCGTGGGAGTCAGAGGAGGATGCGGGCTTGCCTGAGCGGGAGGGACAAGGGCCTGAGGTACAGCCCCGAGGAGGTGGAGTGGACACAGCGATAAGGATCAAAGGAGGACAGGCCCCTATGAATCAAGGACAGAAATTCGAGGAGAGGGATGTGGCTGATGATGCTAGATGATGCTGTGAGTGTTGGCAGGAGCAGGCCTGGAAATGAAGGGTTTCCGGAATATCAAATCATAGAGGCCACCCAGGCAAATCAGTACTTAGTGGGGCAGGGGACAGATTCTGGATTGGAAGGGACTGAGAAATACTTGTCTGAGACAGGAAGAAGGGAAAACATCAAATGTAGACAAAATCTTTTATTAGCTGTAAGATAGTGGTTGAAAACGGCTTTTTGTTAGGTGGGAGAAACTTGGGCTTGAAAATACAGAGCAGAGTGTGTAATCAATTGGATGGGGTCGCTGGGAGGGTATGCGCGGGAGTTGGAGTGTAAGGATGGGATAAGTGAAGGGTCTGCTCTGCTGTGGCCCATTGCTGTTGGGTGGGGGTAGCGGGCGGCCGTGCCGAGGCTGGCCATGCCCTGCAGAACATTCTAGCTTGCAGCATCTCAGAGATGGCTTATCCTGGATTTTCACTTCACTTTCTCGGCCTCCCTTTGCTTTTAGAAGTGGAGGGTTTGGTCTGGAAAGACTGACAGTGCCACGAGGGCACTATGTAGGTTGTGTTTCGAGGGTCATAGGACACGTGCTTGGAAGGCCACCCAGCAGCTAGTGGTTGGGGCGAAAGAGGGTCCAAACAGGTGATGCTTGAGTTGAGTCCTGAAGGAAGGTGACAAGAGGAAGGAAGTTTCTGGCAAAGGATAGCATCCACAAAAGTCTCAAGGCCAAAGAGAGGGTGTGTATGTTCAGGAGATATGTGGGGAAGGAAGGGAAATTGAGATCAGGAGTTGTCAGGATCTGTTTGGGGGCAGTGAATGATTTTCAGGTTACACGTAGGGTAATATAGGAGTTTACATATGATACATACAGGATTTTAGCAGTTTCCTAAATTTAGGAGTACCAATTCTGAGTGTAGTTTTCTCCATTAAATACATCATGGGGGCCGGGCGCGGTGGCTCACAGCTGTAATCCCAGCACTTTGGGAGGCCGAGGTGGGCGGCTCACCTGAGGTCAGGAGTTCAAGACCAGTCCGACCAACATGGAGAAACCCCGTCTCTACTAAAAATGCAAAAATAGCCGAGTGTGGTGGTGCATGCCTATAATCTCCAACTGAGGCAGGAGAATCGCTTGATCCCGGAGGAGGAGGTTGGGGTGATCGTGCCATTGTCCTCCAGCCAGAGCAACATGAGTGAAACTCCGCCTCCAAAAAAAAAAAAAAAAAAGTTGCTGAGGTGAGGCTGAGCTAGTTTGTAAGGTTTTTCCAATGGCCAGGTGACTCACTGCTGTGCAGCAGTCTCAGATTATATTAGCATCCTGTCCAGCCGAGGCCTAGTCACTCTGGAATGGTCAGGCGCACGTCAAGATGGTGTGTCAGGGCCTCGTGTGAACGGTGGAGCCTGGGAGGGGTCCCTGGGGGTGGGTTGGGGTGGCAGTGGCCAGTCACCTCTAACTGCCATCCTGCCTGCCTGCAGACCTGCTGCGGATGTTCTTTGACGCCCTGTATGACGAGGACGTGGTGAAGGAGGACGCCTTCTACAGTTGGGAGAGTAGCAAGGACCCCGCTGAGCAGCAGGGCAAGGGTGTGGCCCTGAAATCTGTCACGGCCTTCTTCAAGTGGCTCCGTGAGGCAGAGGAAGAGTCTGACCACAACTGAGGGCTGATGGGGCCGGGGACTTGGAGCCCCACGGACACACAGATGGCCCAGCTAGCCGCCTGGACTGCAGGGGGGCGGCAGCAGCGGCGGTGGCAGTGGATGCCTGTAGTGCGATGTGTCTGAACTAATAAAGTGGCTGAAGAGGCAGGATGGCTTGGGGCTGCCTGGGGCCCCCCTCCAGGACGCTGCCAGGTGTCCCTCTCCTCCCCCTGGGGCACAGAGATATATTATATATAAAGTCTTGAAATTTGGTGTGTCTTGGGGGGGGAGGGGCACCAACGCCTGCCCCTGGGGTCCTTTTTTTTATTTTCTGAAAATCACTCTCGGGACTGCCGTCCTCGCTGCTGGGGGCATATGCCCCAGCCCCTGCACCACCCCTGCTGCTGCCTGGGCAGGGGGAAGGGGGGGGCACGGTGCCTGTAATTATTAAACATGAATTCAATTAAGCTCACTGCCTCTGCTTTATGACCTGCTCCCTCTAGAGAAGGTGGGTATAGGTGGGGGATCCTCCTTCCCAGAGCTGGCATTGGCGCCGTATTCCCTGTAACCTGGCACCCCTCCTGCCTGTTGCCCTGGCCATGATTGCAGGGGTCTGAGATTTCCCAGAGGGCTGGGCCCTCAGGTGGGCTTGATGGGTGCCCTCCAGGTCAGGAGAGGAAAGATTGGTGACAGGCATTCTTGCTGGGCTTTTGCCCTCCCACCAGAATGCTTCAATCTCCTGTGCGGAGAAGGCTCTTGGGTTTCGGGCTGTTCATAGCTGGAAAATCCCTTTATGGATTCAAGGTGTCGTCTGTAAAATGAAGGGGCTGGATGCATCGAGGTGGATTTTCTGGCCCCGTGTAGTGTTACGGGGTTGCCTTAGGAAGTGTTCCGCCGCTCCTGCCTTCAGGTGCCGGTCGGTCCGGTAGAAGAGGACCGGCGTTTTCGAACCCGGCCCAGGCCTCCCCTGCGTGGCTGTGACGTTGCTGCGCCCCGCCCACTCCGGGTGGTGACGCGTGGCCACGCCCCCGCGCTGACGTCACCGGTCCGGTTCCCTCTCCGGGGAGCGGCGGCGGACGCGCGGCTCCCACCCCCTCCCCTCTCACGGGCTCTCCCCTCCCCAGTGGTGGCCGCGACCCGACCCTCTGCAAGGCGATGGCCCGCGTCCCGAGCGCAGGCTAGTGTGCCTGGGTGCCCGGCCATGGGCTGTATCGGCTCTCGGAGCCCGGCGGGTCAGGGTAAGAGGCGGAGGCCGAGCACGGGCTAGGGAGTCTGGCTGCGGCCGCCGGTGCGCGGTGCGCGGTGCGCGGGCCGCGGGTGGGGGGGGCCTTGAGGAGGGGGGCCGGTGTCGGGAGAGGGAGGAGCCTGCACCGGGAGGCGGGCCAGGCAGCAGGAGGGAGCGGGAATGAGCGGGGAAGGGGCCAGACTGACTCCGGTGCGCTCCCACGGCCTGCCTGCTTCGGGGTTTTGCGGGGCAGACGCGTGGTTTCGCCGCCGGCAGCCGTGTGCCTACTGCTCGGGGTGTCCGGTGACGCACAGCCCGGGGAGGGGCTGGGCCGCCCGATGCCCCCACCACTCCAGCCCGCGGCGACCGGCCTTGAGCGCCCACACACTCCCCTCCGCCTACACCTGTGCCTTCACTGTCCTGGGAGTGGCCCTGTGCTGGGAACCTGCTTCTCCCAGCCGTGTCCCCATCTTAAAGCGGTAGCCTTTCAACCCCGGCCAAGCACCCTCCCACAGAATTTCTGTCGGACATTTACTCCCCGTTTCGGAGTCAGTTGGCGCAGGGGTGCTGAGGCTCCGTTTGGGGCACCTGTGAACATTGAATCACCTCTCACTTTATTACAGTTGCTGTAATTTCCTGCCCCCATCAGCAAAAGCAAATCACCCTACTTTGTGGAGGGAAAGAGGATCCCAGAGGCCGACCATCAGGGCTTCCTTCCCGCAGTGCTGACCCCTGCTTGGGCCTGGGTTTTCGTGGGTGGCTGTGAGCACCGGGCCTGGCCCGAGTCCTGTGCATCTGAGGTTGGCCAGCTTCCTTTACTGTGGTGTCGTGGATTTCTCCAAGCCTCGGGTCAGGCAGGGCTGGGTTTGGGATGGGTCCTGGGCCTTCAGGGAAGGTGGTCAGTCACACAGGCCTTGGTGTGGTTGGTACTTGATGTTCTTTGGAGCTAAGAGTGGCTGAGATTTGTACTTCCCTTGAGGAATTCTGGGATTCGTAGTCCTAAGTTAACCTCGTGGCTTTTGAAGCTGAGGAGCAGCTGACTGCTCTGATCCCTCTGGCCCTGCCAAGGCTTGGAGTTCAGGAAGCCATCACCTCCTCTAGTCAGGGGTGAGTTTGGCTGACCTCAGAGCCCTGGTTAGGTACCAGCTGGGGCCAGGGATGGCCTGTAACCTGTCTTCCTTCTGGTTGGTAGCATTTCTGGGGACCACCAGCTGGCTGAGGCTCAGGGACAGAGACGGCTGCTCCAGCTAAAGGTCAGTTGTGATGTACATTGCCTGTTGGCACTGTCTAGGGGATGGGCCTCAGCTCCCTGAGCCCCAGAGAGCTTGGCTGAGTCCTGGTACTCCCACCTCCTCAGAGCCATGAGGCAGGAATGTTCTCCTTATGTGACTAGGCGCAGGTTCCAAATGGGGAGGGGACTGGCTCAGCATCCGGAGCCAAAACAGGAATAGAACTGGGAGCAGAGCCTGGAGCGGTTCTAGGCTTTTGGTTCTCTGCATCAACACAGCCAGCATGCCTATGATTTCTGTGCTGGGCAAAATGTTTCTGTGGCAGCGTGAAGGGCCTGGAGGACGATGGACTTGTCAGACAAGTCGCAGAGGTGAGACCAGGGATCATGGATGTGGTCTGGGAGATGATGGGAAGCTGAGCAGTAGGGGCTTACTTAGGTGGAAAAGGAAAATCACTCTGGCTTAGATATTGAGAGCCAGGTTGAAGCAGCGAGAACCAGGCCGGGGCCAGACAGGGCATCAGGAATCGGCTTCAGGGGACAGGGGTGAAAATCAGAAAAAATATCCTGAGTTTGTCAGAGAAGAAGAGTGAAGAGCTGTGGGCCAGCCGAGGCTGCTGAGAGGAAAGAAAGCAGAAGAGAGAGGAAGGCAGCACATCTGCAGAGGGTCCAGGGTGGCGGCGGTGGGGGACAGCGATGGCGGAACTCAGTTGCTTTCCAAGAGAAATGGGTAGGCTGGGAAATGGGGAGAGTCAGAATTTATTATCATCGTTTGGTTTCACCGCAGGGTTCTGACAGCAACATTTATCCAGAGCAGGAAGGTGGCCAGTGGGCTGCCCCAAAGTGGCCCCAGGGGCTGGAGGGCCAGCGATGTGTGAGATAGGGGCTTTTAGAAATGAGGAGAGCACCTGGTGGGCGCTGAGCTTCTGGAAGGTGGGGGTGGGGGGGCTGAGAAATGAAATGGCAATACCGGATGAAAATGGGGATCTTGGCAGAAGTAGGAGCACAGCTGAAAAGCCTTTCCCCTTCCCCTCAGTGTCCTCGGACCCTGCGTGGGCTGTGGAGTGGATTGAACTTCCTCGGGGTCTCTCTCTCTCCTCCTTGGGATCTGCTCGGACCCTCCGAGGCTGGAGCCGGTCCTCCCGCCCTTCCTCGGTGGACAGCCAGGACTTGCCAGAGGTGCTGGGCCCCTGGTGGTGGGGGGAAGGAGGACGGCATCCATATAAAGGGGATCTGCAGCCCCCACCCCCGCCTGGCCAGCCTGCTTCTGGCTCCCTTTTCCGGAGAGCGGAGGCGCTATCCGGCGGCGGGCCGGGAGGCCGCCCCCGTGCCGGTCTGCTCCGCTAGGCGCTGTGCCAGCGGGCGGCGAGCTCGCGCCTTCGGCGCTGACGTCAGCGCATCCCGGGCCGTATCCCGGGAGACCCTGTTGCATGGTGATGGGTTGCCAGGGAGACATACACCTTTTCTCTGGGCCTGGGCCGCAGCTGCGCGGAGCGCCGGGCACGGATGGCGGCGGCTGTGGGGAGCGAGGCGAGGGAGGGAGAGCCAGCCAGAAACACCCAGCAGGTGCTCCTCCCCCTGGGCCTGGCAGGAGGCTGCCAGCGCCACCCCAGGGCCCTGTCAGCCAGGTACCCAAGAGGAGGGAGCGAGGGTGGGCCTCGGGTCAAGGGGCAGTGTTGGCTGTCCTTGCGAGGGACAGGAACGTGATAGTGGAGAGCCGAGCAATGCCGGGGAGGGGAGTGTGCCTCCCAGTTCCTTCAGTGATGGAAACATTTGCTGGGGCTTGTCAGGGAGCGCTGAGCCAGGTGCAGGGTGGAGTTAGCAACTTGGTGCATCCCACTTAGGCCTGGCCATCCCGAGCTCCCTCAGGAGACAGACAAGGGCAATGATGGGGGTGGGGTGGGGCAGAGAAGAGAGAGAGGCTGTGGGCTGAAAATTACTAGCAAGCCACATTTGAGAGAGGCCTTAAGTGATGGCAAGCATTTTTTTTCAGGTAAGGATGGCATTCTTGGCCCAGAGGAAAGCTGGGTTCCTTTTCCTGGAGGCAGGTGGGCTGCCTGCTGACAGAGACTGGTAGAGAAGGGTTTTGTTTTGGTTTGTTTTGAGACAAGTTTTGCTCTTGTTGCCCAGGCTGGAGTGCAATGGCGCAATCTTAGCTCACTGTAATCTCTGTCTCCCGGGTTCAAGCAGTTCTCCTGCCTCAGCTTCCTGAGTAGCTGGGATTACAGGTGCCTGCCACCACACCCAGCTAATTTTTGCATTTTTGGTAGAGATGGGGTTTCTCCATGTTGGTCAGGCTTGTCCTGAACTCCCCACCTCAGGTGATCCACCTGCCTTGGCCGCCCAAAGTGCTGGGATTACAGGTGTAAGCCACCACGCCCGGCCTGAGAAGGGGGTTTGATTGGGCAGAGGAGATCAGCAGTGCATTCCAAGGAGGCTTGGAAGGAGGCAGGGGCATCACAGAGTGAGGTCCTTCAGGGCCTGGGCGTGATGCCTGCACTAGCCTCACTGGACAGTGGGGGGAGCCAAGACAGGATTTTAGAGACAAGTAGCCCGTCTGCACTCCAGGAAAACTGTTGACATTATATCTTTTTTTTTTTTTTTGAGACAGAGTTTTGCTCTTGTTACCCAGGCTGGAGTGCAATGGCGCGATCTTGGCTCACCGCAACCTCCGCCTCCTGGGTTCAGGCCATTCTCCTGCCTCAGCCTCCTGAGTAGCTGGGATTATAGGCACGTGCCACCATGCCCAGCTAATTTTTTGTATTTTTAGTAGAGACGGGGTTTCACCATATTGACAAGAATGGTCTCGATCTCTCAACCTTGTGATCCACCCACCTCGGCCTCCCAAAGTGCTGGGATTACAGGCTTGAGCCACCGCACCCGGCCTGACATTATATCTTAACTGATTCATCCAGGCTATGCATTTTAAAGAGATTATTCTGTATTAGGTGATATGCTAAACACTGGGCACTACAGTGACTAAAACAGACTAAATTCCCCACCAGCCAAAGACCGGGCCAAAGACAAGTGAGGGAGACCAACAAGAAACGGGAAATGCCAAAGAGATCATTATCACTCTGTGATTAAAGGCCACAAATGGGGGACACTGACAGAGAGTGATTTCTTAGAGACAAAAGAGGCAGGACAGACCACCCATAGAGGGGCCAGGAAAGCTACTCTGACGAGGTGATATTTCAGCCCAAACTGGAAGGATGAGAGCCAGCCATCACAGTAGTCCCGGGGAGACCGAGCACCACTCACTACACTTTGGCCTGAGAAGATAGCATGGGAGTGGAGGTGGCTGGGGGACACCATTTCTGCTGACGTGGGCAGGAGGCATTGAGGGCCTGAGAAAGGGCAGTGGAGTAGGGGTAGAAAGGATGGGGTAGGAGCCGGGATTTTGCAGGTGGAATCATTAGGACTTATCAACAGATGTGGGCAAGTGAAGCCTAGGGGACAGTCGATGGTAATGCTGAGGCTTGGAGCCAGGCTGGATGGGAGAACGGTGGGGGATGCAAAGGAAAGAGCCCAGGAAGCAGGGCCAGACATGCGGAGAAGGTGTTGGCGTTTGATTTCCATCTTATGGAGTTTGCCAGAACAGCTGGAATGTGGGTTGGAAGACCAGGAGGAGTGGGTGGCGGGGCGGGGGGGGGGTGAGGGGAGGGGACTCTTAAAGCCCTGGGTGCCACACTCTTCTCCTCCCTCCTCTTCCCTCTCCCCAGAGGTTCCACTTGTGGTTCTTCATTTCCTGCCCTGCCTCTGTCTCCTCTGGGTGCCGGGAAGGTGGAGGATTAGCTGAAGTTTTGCTTCCTGGGGCCTGTCTGAATCTCCATTGCTTTCTAGGAGGACAGAATTCACCTGCCCTAGCTTCTTCTCATCTTACATTTCCCTGTAGCCACTGGGACGTAGGTGCTGCTCCCTCCTCATCCCATCTCCTCCTCGTGCCTTGGCTGGGTATGGGCATGTTAGAGGGAAGCTCATTGTTGTCAGAGCGGCACTGACCTTCTAATGGTGTCACCCAAGGTGAATGTTGGAGACACAGTCGCGATGCTGCCCAAGTCCCGGAGAGCCCTAACTATCCAGGAGATCGCTGCGCTGGCCAGGTCTTCCCTGCATGGTACGCAGCCCCCGCTCCCATGTATCTGGCTTCTCTGTCCTTTCTCCTCCCTTTCGTGCATTCCCTCCGGAACTGTTTCCTGTGAGCACGTGCTGGGGTCTCCCCTCTCCTCCCTTGCTTAGATGAATCCCACCCCCTTCCCCCACCTAAAGGTTCACATGCATCCTAACTACTGCCACCCTTCCACCTCCCTGCCCAGGTGTGCCCTGGCCTGTTCCCTTACCAGGCTTCTCCACTCTCCTGTCTCCAGGTATTTCCCAGGTGGTGAAGGACCACGTGACCAAGCCCACCGCCATGGCCCAGGGCCGAGTGGCTCACCTGATTGAGTGGAAGGGCTGGAGCAAGCCGAGTGACTCGCCTGCTGCCCTGGAGTCGGCCTTTTCCTCCTATTCGGACCTCAGCGAGGGCGAACAAGAGGCTCGCTTTGCAGCAGGTGGATGGCAGAAAGGGGATAAGCGTCACAGTGGTCACAGGGCAGATTTCTTTTGTCTCCTCGGGTCTGACGTGGGGGTCGGAGTCTTTTCGTACCGTTTCTCCTCTCTCCTGTCTCCAAGCCGAGCCCTAGACTTAGTTCTGCTTCTCTGCTAATGCGTTCCGTCCCCACGACAGGAGTAGCTGAGCAGTTTGCCATCGCAGAAGCCAAGCTCCGGGCATGGTCTTCGGTGGACGGCGAGGACTCCACTGATGACTCCTATGATGAGGACTTTGCTGGGGGAACTGACTCAGGTGAGGGCAGCCTGTGCTAGTGCTGTGGAGGACCTGCCTGATAGCCCTTGGGGTCATTCAGAGCCATACACACATCCTCAGCCTGTGGGAGGGGAAGGGAGAGAGACGCACACTCGGACCGGGGAGGCCTGGATACTCTAGGGACGGGAAGGTTATCCACACTCACGGATGGGAGATGAGCAGGCGGAAATGCGTTAGTTCCTTTCCTGCAGGTGCTGAGGCTTCTCTGCCTGTCTGCATGCTTGTGCCTTGCAGTCCTCAGAAAAAGGGGGAAAAAAAGCCAGGCGTGGTGGCTGGCTCACACCTGTAATCCCAGCACTTTGGGAGGCCTAGGCAGGTGGATCACAAGGTCAGGAGTTCAAGACCAGCCTGGCTGAAATGGTGAAACCCCGTCTCTATTAAAAATACAAAAATTAGCTGGGTGTGGTGGCACACGCCTGTAATTCCCAGCTACTGGGGAGGCGGAGGCAGAAGAATCACTTGAACCCGAGAGGCAGAGGTTGCAGTGAGCTGAGATTGCGCCACTGCATTCCAGCCTGGGCGACAGAGTAAGGCTCAGTCTCAAAAAAACAAACAAACAAAAAAAACAACAAAAAACAAAACAAAAGCCCAAAGACCTCAAGGACACCTTCTGTGCAGTGACGTCTCAGGGAGGCTTTGCAGGTCCTTTGCCTCTTCCTCCCTGAGGCCGCCTTCTGGCTGGCTGTGGCAGGGCAGAGGAGCCGCAGCCCCCGGTCAACAGGAAGGCATGCTGGGCCTGGAACACCCACGGGGCCGAGCTGGCTCCAACTCAGCATCCTTGCATTCCAGCCTGTGGGCCTTGCTCTGGACCGTGCTTGCAGAGGGGACCCCGCAGGGCTCTGCAGCTGTGTTCGGCCCTCCTTTCATCTTTCACTCCCTAGACCACGTGGCTGACTTTCTCTGTAGCTTCTGGGCTCAAGTCTCACAGGCCACCATTCCCCACAACCTCTTTGCCTTTGAAGATTACCTCTACCAGCCCCTACCTCTGCAGTGAATTAGCAAGTTCTCCAAGGCAGGCAATACATGAGAACAGGTTGGAGACTGCAGCTGTGGTCTGGAGGGCTGAGGTGAATGTCTGAAGGCGAGATGGAACCGTAAACCACAGGCATTTCTGTTTGATTGAGTTCCAGGCCTGCTTTGACCCCTGGGGTGATGATAATAACTAATGTTTATCCAAGGTTGCTACTAGCCCGTGTGGCATCTTTGTGCAAATTAGAAAAAGGCACCCCTGTCTCTGGCAGGCCAGGGCATGCCGCTGGGTGAGCAGAGTATGGGCTGGACTTTGCCGCCTCTCACTGCCTCGGACGGGCCCCGCGGTGCAGTCGGCACCTGTACGACCAACTGCAGCCGCCCTGCATTTCTTGTTCACTGTGTGCCGGACTCCTGTTCTCATAGTGTTAGAATCTCCAACTCACCATTAAGGAAACCGAGGTCTCAGAAAGTTGTGGCTGGTCCAAGGTTACCCAGCACCTGTCCACTACCCCAGAGCTATGCCAGGGATGGAGCAGGGGGAATGTGGACGACGGAAATGGAGCTAGCAAGCCTGTCTTCTTTTCTGCTCCCTCACAGACCTCGCTGGGCAGCTGCCCCTGGGGCCGCACCTCCAGGACCTGTTCACCGGCCACCGGTTCTCCCGGCCTGTGCGCCAGGGCTCCGTGGAGCCTGAGAGCGACTGCTCGCAGACCGTGTCCCCAGACACCCTGTGCTCTAGCCTGTGCAGCCTGGAGGATGGGTTGTTGGGCTCCCCGGCCCGCCTGGCCTCCCAGCTGCTGGGCGATGAGCTGCTTCTCGCCAAACTGCCCCCCAGCCGGGAAAGTGCCTTCCGCAGCCTGGGCCCCTTGGAGGCCCAGGACTCCCTCTACAACTCACCCCTCACGGAGTCCTGCCTTTCCCCCGCGGAGGAGGAGCCAGCCCCCTGCAAGGACTGCCAGCCGCTCTGCCCACCACTAGCAGGCAGTTGGGAGCGGCAGCGGCAAGCCTCTGATGTGGCCTCTTCCGGGGTGGTGTCCTTAGATGAGGACGAGGCAGAGCCGGAGGAACAGTGACCCGCCTCGTGCCTGGTGGCATGCATCCCCTGGCTGCTGCTAGGGGCTGAGCCTCTGTGCCCACGTGTGGGCTCCAGGCTCCCAGCAGAGCTCCGCAGCCTCGAGGGCTCCTGGGAGCGCTCGCTTCTCCGTTGTGTGTTTTGCATGAAAGTGTCTGGAGAGGGCGCAGGGGCTGGGCTGGGCTGGGGGCGCATGTCCTGCCCTCACTCCTGGGCTTGCCGGGGGTTGCCCGGGGCCTCGGGGGCATGGCTAGAGCTGTGGCAGGCAGTGATGTTCATGTTCTTAAATCCAAATGCCACACGCACATTTCCTCCTCGGATGATGTGAACCGCTAAGGGGGTGGTTGTGACTGGGCTGTGTGGGGGTGCGGAGGGAGGGGGCCCAGCCACCCCCCACCCTCCCTACGCCTCTTTCTTCTCTGCTTTTCTCCTCACCTCCGAGTCCATGTGCAGTGCTTGATAGACTCACCCTCCTGGGGGGCTGGCTCCTGCCCTGCCGGAGCCTCTGGCTGAGCCATCCCCCAGGCCCCTGCCCAGCTGGGCTCGTGCTGTGCTTCACCTCTCCAGCGTCTCTAAATCTTCCTCTTTTTTCCTAAAGACAGAAGGTTTTTGGTCTGTTCTTTCAGTCGGATCTTCTCTTCTCTGGGAGGCTTTGGAATGATGAAAGCATGTACCGGCCACCCTTTTCCTGGCCCCCTAGTGGGGCCTGGGCCCTTTCCCAACCCCTTCTCGGATGTGCGGGCAGTATCCTGGAGCCTCCCAGCCAGCCGGGCTGCCCATGTTCACGCAGAGTTCTCCGAGCGAGCAGGCGAGAGGTGGAAGAAAGACTGGCTCTGGTTGCCACAGAGCTGGGACTTCCATGTTCTTCTAGAGAGGGCCACAAGAGGGCCACAGGGGTGGCTGGGAGTTGTCAGCTGATGCCTGCTGAGGGGCAGGAATTGTGCCAGTGAGTGGCAGCCATGGGGGAGTGTTTCTCCTTGGGGAGGGAAGAGGGTAGAGCCTTTCTTGTCTGAATGAAAGGCCAGGGCCCCGCCCCAGCCAGGCTGTTCGTAAGCACACAGTGGAGACTCTGGCAGATCCTGCATTCCAAGGTCACTGGACTCTAGCTTTTCATGGCTGTGGGGTGGTGCCTTGTAGGCTTTGTCAGGTAAGAGGGCCCAAGGTAAGAACGAGAGCCAGCGGGCACACGCATTCTATATATAAGTGGCTCATTAGGTGTTTATTTTGTTCTATTTAATAATTTGTTTTATTAAATTAATATAAAAATCTTTGTAAATCTCTATATACATCTGGTCATTGGAGGTTCCAGTTATAAACCCATCTTGGTTCTACCCCTTTCCCCTCAAAGGGGGAACAGGGATCAAGTGACCCAAACCCCATCCTGCCAGGGCAGGGCCGATCTTCCTGGCCCTGGAAAACTTGCTGCAGGTGGGCACTGGGTCAGATTCCAGGCAGGATGAGCTGGGAGAAGCTGGCACCCCAGATCTGGAGGGGGATGGGGTGCAGCCTCCGGCTGTAGCTGCCCCCTAACTTCCCAAGGCAGAAGGGATGAGAGACGCAGATTCTGGGCTGATGGCCTGGCTAGCACCATCCTAGGCCACCCATGAGGGCTTCATTGGCATTTGTCGTCGCTGTCAGAAGGGCTGCCCTCCCGGGGGAGGCCATGACGGGAGTGGGGCCCCCAGAGTGCATGCACCTCAGTGGTCTCCGTGTCACTGCTGCTGGTGGCACTGTCTCGGAAGCTGGCGAGGGGCGGCCGGACCTTCACACCCTGTGCCGTGACGGAGCCCTCGATGGCCTTCCGGAGCTGGAAAGGTGAGAGGGACAGATGTCTGGACCCAGAGCTCTCGGCTCAGACTCCTCCCCGCCTCTCTCCCAAGGTGAGCCGGACCTCAGCTTCCGTAGGCCACCATCATCTCACCTCCTTTAGAGTAACGATTCCAATGAGTCTCCCAATACTGGTGACATAAGCATGGTCCACTCCCAGCAGTGAGAAGATGGTGTGAGTCTGCAGTGTGGGGAGAAAACAGGTTGGATTTGATGGACAAGGGGCAGCTCTAAATGACAGGCCACAGGGGGTCAGGACAAGGTTGGCATGGCATAGAAGGGGTGCCACACATCAGGAGGGAAGGAAACCAGACTGCTGGAGGGAAAACAGTAACAACTCTAATAATAACGAGAATGTTTCTGTGTCCAGGCCTCAGAAGCTTGATACTCCAAACCCTAATGCTGCTCACATGGAGAAACAGGATGGGGGGATAATTCTTAGTCCCGTGTCAGAAAGGGGGATGCAGGACAGAACAACTGCTCACACGCGAAGTCTAGTGATGTGCTAGGCTCCGGGCTAGGTCTTACATCATCATTTCATTTCAGTGCTCTCCTGAGAGCTCAACATTAGAAGCAGCATGGGGCTCCACAGAGAAGTGACTTGTTCCTGGGTGGATCATCAGGAGTGGCTATGCAGCCCCAGGCACTTTCCTCACACCCCCACTCCTGTTTAGTTGCAGATATACCCAGAAGGGAGAGTCCACGCCCACCCGAAGGTCCCCGGGCCTGAACGCTGTGCCTCTCGCTCTGCTGCTTCTCAGGTGCCCTCCCAGCTCAGTGGCCAGGTGCGGGGCTCTCCCCTGCTCTGGCATCCCGGTCTTGGTCTGACACATGCTATGCCTCTCACAGTCTGCCTTTTCTGGGGTCCAAGCAGCGTCCCAAGTTCTGCTGAGATGCAGCTTGCAGTCCAGGAGGATCACAGGCACCCCATCCTCCCATGCTTTACTTGCTGTGAGCCTTCCCCTAAGCTTTCAGATATAACCACGAAGGCTTCAGAAACTGTCAGCCAGTTCTCCTTGTGCTTTAAGTAGATTTTCTTGGGGCCAGATGTCTTGAAAAACACTCTCCTGACTCAGCAGTTCCTGGAATTTTTGGCCTATCATTTATCTCACTGTTCTGAGTTTACTTGTAAGCCTCCTGGCTTAATGTTTGGATCAAGATGAGCAGTAATAACAGCTTCTTATCTATCAATTACTCAAAACTCATTTAAATTGCCTGAATACTTTTTAAATGTTCTTACACATTTGAAATTCTTCAGGGAGGGATTTCCAGAACTTTCCTAAATTTCTCCACCCATGGCATGACAATACTTAGAGGGGCGAGAAGTTCAATTTTAGAATAAGCTTTCTAGGCGCCGTGGCTCATGCCTGTAATCCTAGCACTCTGGGAGGCCGAGGTGGGCGGATCGCTTACGCCCAGGACTTTGAGACTAGCCTGGGCAATATGTAAAACCCTGTGTCTACAGAAAGCAGACATGGTGGGTGCCTATTGTCCCAGCTACTTGGGGGTCTGAATTGGGAAGATCGCCTGAGCCCAGAAGGCAGAGGCTGCAGTGAGCCATGATCATGCCATTGCACTCCAGCCTGGGTGACAGAGTGAGACCCTGTCTCTGAAAAAAAAAAAAAAAAAAAAAAAAAAAATCTGTGTTCCTGCAATACGGGTAACACTTAGCAATTCCTCCTCTTGTCTAACTTGAGTCCTACATGCTACAAGTTAGCTTAATTTCTTTGTCTGACTTAAGAGGGAAACGTTTTTATTATAAGGTTTCCTGTTTTTTTTTTTTTTTTTGAGACGGGGTTTCGCTCTTGTTACCAAGGCTGGAGTGCAATGGCGCGATCTCGGCTCACCGCAACCTCTGCTTCCTGGGTTCAGGCAATTCTTCTGCCTCAGCCTCCTGAGTAGCTGGGATTACAGGCACGCGCCACCACGCCCAGCTAATTTTTTGTATTTTTAGTAGAGACAGGGTTTCACCATGTTGACCAGGATGGTCTCGATCTCTTGACCTCATGATCCACCCGCCTCGGCCTCCCAAAGTGCTGGGATTACAGGCTTGAGCCACCGCGCCCAGTCCAGGTTTCCTGTTTTAATAATCTCTTAGCCTTGTCTCCTTCTGGTCAAATAACCCCTCTCTTCTTCTCCCAAGGAGCCCATTAAATAGTTCCCTTGAATTTTCTTTTTCTCCACAGTCCTAATCAGGTGAGCTTCTGGCAGGCGATATGCCTTTCAGGTTTGCTAACCACTTGCCCCTGGTGGTCACCAAGCCTTACCAATTCACTCCCTAAACAGCCTGGCCATGCCCGACTGTAGCCCCACCTTCCTCACAAAGACCGGGGCTGCAGCAGCCTCACGGGCTCTCCCCCTCTCTGGCTCCCCTCCCTCCAGTCTGGCCCTTCTTATCCTGTGCACTTCGTCAAACTTGCCTACAGGCCAGACTCCCCAGAATGACTCATGAGACCCTTCCTAAGCCAACCCCAGCCCGTCTTTATGGTCTCAGAGTCCACTGTGCACACCAGCTTCCAGCTTCACAATCCCTTATCTTTTTCTGAAAACATTCATTTCTTCCACATTTCAGCTCTTCTCTCATTACAGTATTTTTTTTTTTTTTTGAGACAAAGTCTCACTCTGTCACCCAGGCTGGAGTGCAGTGGCACAATCTTGTCTCACTGCAAACTCTGCCTCTTGAATTCAAGTGATCCTTCTGCCTCAGCCTCCTGAGTAGCTGGGAACACAAGCATGTGCCATCATGCCCAGCTAATTGTATTTTTTGTGGAGACAGGGTTTCACCATGTTGGGCAGGTTGGTCTTGAAGTCTTGATGTCATGCTCTGCTTACCTCAGCCTCCCAAAGTGCTGGGATTACAGGTGTGAGTAATCACACCCAGCCTCATTACAGTATTTTAATTTTAGTTAAAAAAAATTTTTTTGGCCACGCACAGTGGCTCATGCCTGTAATCCCAGCACTTTGGGAGGCCGAGGCAAGTGGATCACTTGAGATCAGGGGTTCGAGATCAGCCTGGCCAACATAGTAAATCCCTGTCTCTACTAAAAACACAAAAAAATTAGCTGGATTTGGTGGCATGCTCCTGTAATCCCAGCTACTCGGGAGACTGAGGCAGGAGAATCCCTTGAACCTGGGAGGTGGAGGTCTCAGTGAGCAGAGATCACGCCACTGCACTCTAGCCTGGTGGATAGAGCGAGACTCCGTCTCAAAACAAAACAAAAAAATTGTTAGAAGACAGTGTTGCTATGTTGCTCAGGTTGGACTTGAACTCCTGGGCTCATACAGTCCTCCTACCTCAGCCTCCCAAGTAGCCAGGACTACAGGTGCGCCACCATGCCCAGCACACGCTATCTTTTAAAATTCATCTCAGTGTGAGTAGTAGGAGTAGTGACAGTAATTCCTAACATACATCAAATATTTCCTGTGTGCTAGGCGCTACTGTAGGTGCTTCACGTGTTTCAAGTCCTTTAATTCTTAGAAAACCCAGTGAGGTGTGATCCGAAATTCAGAGATAGGGAAAGGAAGCACAGAGAGGCTCAGAAACTTAGCAAGGCACACAGCAAGCTAGCATGCGGCAGAGTCGGGGTTTGGATTCAGGCGGCCTGGCCCTCGCCCTGGCCCCCGCTGCGGCCTTTACCATTGCTTCTCCACAGGTGGCTCTGAGTGAGTTACTTCCTAGCTGCTGCAGTGATTTCCAGATGCACAGTTCTGGAGTATTCTCCACTGTATTCTCTCCCTTATCCGAATGTTCCCTCCTGAACTGAATCGGGCGACTACCTATTGATTCCTCAGGCCTGTAGGGACACTCTGAATGCTGATCGTTCATGTTCTTATCACTTCTAGTTCTTTGTACTTTTGTTAGTTGGTTCCTCAAAGGCTTCTTCTCTTCCTCTGATTTTTAAGTTTGTAACAAATATCTACTTTGTTCTTTTTCATTTAATTTAATTAGCTATCACGGAGCCCATTGGAGGGCCCATACTTCTTGGGCCTGGGAATAGTGAACTGGCAGGGAGAGGGACAACATGGCCTTCTGGAAGAATCCTGGGAGCAGGGCCAGGAAATCTGGGCTCTGGGCCAGACTCTGCTATGCTGACTTAGGCACAGGACCCACCCCCCTCCCACTGCATGCCTCAGTTTCCCTATGTATTAATATGGTTAAGGCCACAGGCTTTTGAGTCAGACCATCTTGGATTCCAGGCTCAGTTCTGCTACTTATTATTATTTTTTGAGATGGAGTTTTGCTCTTCTCATCGAGGCTGGAGAGCAATGGCATGAACTCCACTCACTGCAACCTCCACCTCCCATGTTCAAGCGAATTCTCCTGCCTCAGCCTCCTGAGTAGCTGGGATTACAGGTGCCTACCACCATGCCTGGCTAATTTTTTGTATTTTTAGTAGAGACAGGGTTTTACCATGTTGGCCAGGCTGGTCGCAAACTCCTGACCGCAGGAGATCC